AACAGTATTACAGTATATATTGTCATCAGAATGGGCGAGACATATATAATTTGAAGAACACCACTGAGTGTTGATAAACGTAGCTACACTTCCCCCGCACATTTTTGTTGAACCACACTGATCCTAGCGAAACAATTTGAAAACGTCTAAAGAAACTAAATTTTTATCATACAGGTTGTGGAATCAGGTTTTCTGTAATGTTATTACGCAAGCACCACGACAAATAACAGAACATAGAAGGGATTTTAAATAGTCTGCTTTACACAATGAAGATCTGCAGGTCGATCTGAGTATCTTTGGTAGTACCACTTGTTGTCGTTTAGTTTCTTTTAGGGCGTGTTTCTATCCACCACGATGTCTTTTCTTAATCATACTTGTCAAATTCACATCTATTGGTTGATACCTTTTTAAACGTTCATGTGAGTATGCGATAAGATTTCAGATTATATTTGGATAGATTAAAACAAATTAAAATAGAATAAACTTCACGCAACGTATAGGATGTAAGTATTTGACAGCCTAGGGTTTAAGTAGGCTGCCAGTAACCAAATCTTTGTTCTTCTGTGATTAATCAATGTGGGGGCGATTAGCAGAGAATATATCGTCACTTAACATTCAAAGATATATAAATGTAAAAAATGACTCAATTAAATGTCTCTCGAACTGTCTTCAAAATTCTTTATAATAATTGTCCTGTAAGTATTTAGTGGTCAAGTCTGCATCCTGTGTACACAAAATATTTCGTCATATTAAAGGCGGGAACTATGCTTCTCTTCAGACAAAGAGTTTTAGGAATATGCTCATAAAAACAAATGTAGATTTTCGTAGAACCTTTTTGTTGCGTCTAATTTCAAGTTAGCCTGTTTGAGATTTTACACAATGAAACAGAATCATTCATTGTTTGACGTTTCAAAGAGAACTTATTATTCATATTTACGTCAAAAGATGTTACTTCATTCTATCTTGCACACTTTGTTCTATTTCAAACCTCAATATTTTGTATAAACTCTGTTCACCTTACTCTTTAAGCTCTCGTAACTTCATAATGTTATGAAGTTATTGCGCAATCTGTAAGAATTACTTCCTATACGCCTTTTAACCCTCTCAAACAAGATTATTCACCTAATAATCCAACCAGTTGTTAATCTTCCGCCCACATTCCTAACGATCTACTCTACTTTTGTCATTTACATCATCTATGCTATCTACCAGTCGATCGTGTCAAACACGTCTTGTCAACTCGTTGAAAGTATGTTCAATTCTTGTTATGTGTACGCTTTAATGTTATTTAGATTGTAAGCAATCGAGAAGAATTGAATAAATAGTAAAAACAACTCATTCTGTCCCGCTACACTGGTTGTTTTTGCTGTCTTCAAGTTTATAAATGGTAAGAAATGGATGAAGATTTATCTGTTTATTGTCACTGTTTTTATTCTATGGTTTACTTTCCTACGTTTGTGCATGTTAGTTTCTATTTCCTATTAAATTTCTAGTAATGTTTTCCTCCAACTATAAAGTATTGTTTACGTCATTATTTTCTAACGCCTTAGTGATCACAAAGTGACCGCATGATTACATATTCTGCGTCTCACTCAAGAAATGACTTATGGTTTTCTCCTAAAACATTCCGTCTTGATGGCATAATACTTTTAGCAATGGTAAGCTTTTTTTGATACGTTTTCAGAATTCGCTTTTGTTGCATCCAGTGGTTGCTCAGTGATAATATGTGTTAGTTTTAATCCTTTTGACTATATCCTTTCTTGGCTTACTAGAATCTCATTAACCTCAAAACATATCTAGTTACAGCAGTGAACTTGGCATTCATTGGTGACGTCAGTGGAAAAAAGACTTGTGAATGGGTCTGACTGTTCCAGTTAGGTCACTTCATATTACTGTTATTACCTAGAATATGTGGCAGGCTTTACATGAAAGCTTTTTTACACATATAGGAAATTTTCATGTGGAAGTCATTCAAATGGTAAAAAACACAAATTTCAGTCTACTTTAAAGTGTAAAGATTATCATTACCTATGATGTTACACGCCATCTTAGAATTTGTTTCGATGAAACTAAACAGAGAAGAAAGACTATAGAAAGTGAGTGGTATCTCTAGTGTACGAAGACTGAGCTGCTTGATCAATTTAGCAACTACATGATTGAGAAATTTCATCATACAAGAATTTTTCTAGTTTGAGGAAACATTTTGGAGATGTTATTGGTAGTAAACAGCTTAGCAATATAGCCTGTAACTATATCTTTGTTTTCAATTCGTCAAAAATATGTGAATTTGTTGATGTCACCTTATCGTGCCTTTTGAAACAAAAAAGAGGTTGTTGCGTTCTCCATAAGAGAGATGTTTTCCAGTATCGCAAAATACTGGTTTACTCTTTTATGAGTTTATATACTGTTTTAACCCGAGACCAATTTAGTTCAAGCTCTTCATTCAGTGAGTGCCTATGTGTCGTGTCATCCAGTGGAATCCAGTTTCAATTATTTTTTTTCTATGATTCTGTACATGCTAACTGAAGGCATACTAAAATAGTCCTAGTAGTCAGGTTCATGTCTTCCTGAATGAATTTGAAATTTAGATCAACTGCACTTACACTTCCATTATCAAAATCAATTTGAAAAACTGGCACGGCCTCTGCCTGGATTTCCTTTTAGGAATTTCTCTGATCCTAATCAGTCCACGCAAATACACAAAAGAATCACCTTGGATGCTGTCATAGTGTTGTCTATAGCTTCGACAGATGTTCTCAGTATACGAGACGTAACATTTCAGAACATTTATTGGTTTCTGACTGGCTGTCAAGATTCTTTTTGTTTAACAAGCTTGTTACAATATATATTCAGTCCTGGATAACATTCTAGCTGCATCAATATTTATGTGAAAATGATCAGTAAACTCTACGTAAAGGGAATGCTTACCTTCATTACTTACTGAGGCAAATTTCATTCCAATCTTTTCTTTGTCAAATTCTTATAAACTAAGTGGTTTCTTATCGATAATCAAACATTCATTCTTTTTGAATGGTTTTGTACTTTATTCATATCAACTTTTTAGCAATAATGTTTGCTTCAAACTTAAGAAGATATGTGTAAACTGCTTCAAAACAAATATTCCGGTCATATAAACGGTTCCGGGTTGGGGAATGTTTCGGTCTTGGTTTGTGTTTAATCTTACCTGGTACTTTCACATCTTACTGACTAAAGAAAAAGTCTCCCAAGCAACTTAAGATATTAGGAGAATGAAAACTTTTGGTTCAGCCGATTTTCTACTTTGAGATAAATTTATTAGTGTATTCTGTTTTTCACCTCCACCTCTAATGTTTCTATGAGCAAAAATCTTATTTCATGTCGAGGATTGCCAGCAGGTATTTTATAAAAATAATAATGTACTAGGTAGGCATTCATATTTGTCTTCTCGTTTTCTCTAAGGTAAGATAAGGAGCCGGAAAATACGGTTTTATTTAATTAAAAAACGTATGTGGAAAATGATGCTTTTATAAGAAGCTTATTTTTTGGATATGTAATGGTCAATGAATAACTGATTACCCTGCATGAATTAGGAATGTTATCATCATCATGACTGTAAGTGATAATTTAGGATTTATTTTAACAATGTAATACAGGTAAGCGCATTTTTTATAGGATAACATTCACAAAGTTCAGCATCTAGACCACAAAATAATTCAGAATAAATCTATCATTATAAATTTGCAGCACTAAAAACAATTCCTTAGAGAGTAAAATAGTGATCCAATTGAGGTTCATTGTTCCAGTTACATAGACCACGTAGATAAGTGCAGTTCTTACTCGAGATCAAGGCAAAGTACAACCGAGTAAGACATTGGTCAAGTTTAATACTACTCTTCATTACCCACTCCAGATGAAATGGTATCATTTAATGGTACATTTAAACACTAAGAAGTCAGGTGTCACACTGGTAGCGAAACAAACAACAGCTTACACTCTTATCGTGATTCAATATATCGCACATGTCTAGCTCAGATATAATATGTGCGATCTGGCTGAAAATACTGACTGTCAGGTAAGTCAATCACGCACCCCTTTGCCAAGTATACATCTTCAGTTTCCCGCAGTTGAGGATTTCCTGTTTCGAAGTGCACAGTGGATTTACTGATGAATATTGGTGAAAATGTACATTAGTTTGGACTTATGAACTTCTCAAAAATACCATTTCTGCAATCAAGTGATAGTGAAACATCTCTGACACTTACCACCAACAAGCATCGTTGTCAACAATAAACAAACAGAATAAGGAAACGCATCCTACCAAATATCTATGCATTTCACAGACATGAGCCATTATAAAACTGCAATATATTTATGTCTCCTAGACGCACGCTAGTTGATGGAGAGAAGTCAGGCATGTATCATCAGTGATTCGTATCTTTCGGCTTCTAAACAGTAGAGGTGCCAAACACACTAACAGTATTTGAGCTGAGTAACGTCAAAGTGTCCATCTCTTGAGGATGTTCAGAGTCAGCCTCGTAGCTACGAGGTACACAATCAACACTCAAAATTCCAAGTCGTATTGCTTCAGTCAAACGACTAGACGACTGCATTATCTTTATAAATGCTTGCCAAAAACCATCTGTAATACAAGTACAGTTCCATGTGATGCACTCATGTAAGTTACATGCAGTCTGTCGACAATGATGATAACTGTAAACTTGGGGTTCAAATGAAATAAATGTGTGCGGTCAAGTCATTACTCGTGGTAAAATTGAAAAGTTAGTCAATAACTCATGGTCTGTTTCCAAGATATACCAATCAAAGTAGGACGACTGTAATTTCATCAACAATTAAAACTCTCACAGTCTCATCAACAACTCGTAGTGAGACTACACCTAAAATAAAAGTTACTGACTCAATCACTGGTGTAGGGAAACTAGTGCAAGATAATTACTGTCATGCAACATACGACAAAATAAGATAACACGTGCACTGAGTATTACAATAAAGTGAAGACTTACAATGATTTGAGTAGGCAGTTTGCAGTAAATGTCGTGAAAACCGATTGTAGATTGGTTCTTCTATCATTTTTCATAACGGTAGTATAGAATAATTCTACAAATCAAGGAGTATTTATATCATACTAATGACGGACAAGCCGTAAGTTTCCACAAATAAGAATACCCGTAGTGAAATCTCCTACGTAAAAATGTGTCAAAATCATTTTTCATTGGTTTTCGGAGTCTGCTGCATCCAAAAATAAAATGTAGTAAAGGTAACTTAAATCAAACAATGGAAAAAATAGTCACGTTATTCAAATACTTCAAATTCCAACTGATGCCTCAAGTTCGCAAGTATCTCTCTAGTGCTGTCTTTGGAGGAATAATGCAGAAGCCTATACGCTTGTTTTGGTAGTTGCAAATATACTACTTAATGACTTTTATGCATCTTACGTATCTACCAAAGATGTTTTCCTTCCTCTTTTATTGGTATCAGCAACGTTCGAATACCAAGCAGTCTGTTTTGCTTACAACACTGTAAATTAGATATATCTGTCGAACAGGTGGAAAAATGTATCTTAATAGCTCTACACAAACAGACTCCTAAAGATCAGAATTCAAACTCTCCCAACTATGTGTTCATTTTGAAATTTGGCTTGAATTAGGACTTCTGGATACATACACGTGTAAAATCGAGGTTTCTTTAATAATTACAGCTTTTAACTACCGACTGCGTAACAAATTAACAGAACTGTATTAAGAGCAATCGTCCTAACGTTATGTAATAAGCTGCAGATTTTTGGAAGAGAGAATGTATACAGTGAAAACTAAGAGGTTGAATAGACGGTTGTCTACATATCTGGAGTTAACTTTTATTTACTATGAACAAAAGTAATGCCCAAAAATAATCGTATTTAAAAAGCCAAAAATGAAAATAAATGTCCTTTCTACCATCATTCATAAAGTAAACAATCACGATGAACATAACCTATTATCTGGAAAGAGAAATCAGTAACTGCCAAATACATTCAAACACAATTAACTAAATAATATGACTGGATATGAAGAAAAGATTTCTTGACATGGAATATTGAATGTCTTATTTAGTATTTCAAACTACCAACATTACAGACTCATAAACACTATTTATCAGGCTTATGTAATAACACAAGATTCCTATTCACAGCTGAATGAAATCTTTCATTTTAGAAATGTGGATTTGAAGTAGTATTTCAACTATGATAAAATGTGAATATCAAACAGTAGGTCAGCTACACATTTAGGAAAAAGTTTTTCATCCGGCAACAGCATATTTGTCTATCGACGTAGGTAAGTGAACAATGAATAGTGGTAACTCATCATAACAATCAGTTGCAGTAACGACATCCCTTTCTAATATACTGTGTCCTTGAAACTGATTTCGTGGTATATATATATATATATATATATATATATATATATATATATATATATATATATATATATATATATATAAAGCTATTTCCATTTTTGTTACCTGATCAACATTTAAATATTCTTTCAGCAGAGGAAGCCAATTCCCGATACAGTGGAACGATCACAGGGATTCCTTTTATATTTCTGAACTGTCTACGATTAGACATTAAGCAATTTATATGATGATAACTTTGACTTCGTTTAACCCACAGATAAACTCCAAAGAGGACATTTCCAAGGACGCCGTGCTTCCTTCATCAGTAGCTCTCAACAGTATTTTCACAAACAAGCAATCTTAACAGATGACTGGGTTACTTCAGCACTCCACCACTTAGTTAATAAGGAAGATTCTAAAGAACCCCTTTTTGTATCTAACCATAACATTACATAGGTAACACATCGCAACGACTTTGTCTTACAATCTGCGGTTCTACTCAGACCCAAAAAGTGGTGCCAATTTCACTCATTCAGAATCAATCCTTAGTCTGATTTGCGGAAACGGATAAAGTCAGGACACCAGCAGCCCTATGTGAATAGACAAAGGCATCATAAATAATGTGCATTGACTAGCGTCTTCTTTAAAAAGAAACTTGCAATTTTACTTGGTACTGACAGAAGTCATTAAAACACAAGGAGGCGCTCAAACGAAAATCTTCAATTCGAGACACTCATACCTGTCTCAATTTATCTTATTTTTACTACTAACGTGCAAATAGTATACAAAAGCCTTTGCTCTATGTTGAATAAGGTGACCCTTAACACAACAACTAAAGGAAAGCGGAATCCTGATATTCAAATATGACTCGGGTTTACAGTTTTCAGGCATTACTTCAAATCACTTGCTGCTGTTTAAAATGTCATCATGAAACCCTCAGAATTCCCCTTCGGTTTCGCAGAAAGAATGAAACCATCTTCTCAAACAGCAACTGCTATGACGATTACTCTAAAAACATCTTCGAAGGTACAAACGCACTACGTATTTTCCACGACAAAATGGTTGTCGTCCACATCTCAGAACAACCATCATCTGTAGTCAGTATTTCACCTGCTGTATTGAACAGTGAATTTCCTCACATCTGATCAACAAATATTCATATTTTAAGCATTAAGCACCATTATGTCTAACGGAAGAATGATTTGAGGCTGTGAATGCATACACAGATAAGAACATCCAAACAACAAGTGGTGTGCCATTTGAAAGGTTTAGGTGTATTCCTAATGAATTCAAAACACCTAAAAACTCTACTTGCTTCCTATCCGTAAACTAGAAGACGAAATAGACAACGCTTATCCCTTCAGTGAAATTATATAAGATTTTACAGTTTATAAATAGAATTCTTTAGTGTGGTAACAGGTCTCACCAGAATATATATTAAAAATATTCTTTAAATTACTGCTGAATTCCTTAGATATAAAGTTTGGGGAGTATATTTGTAGGTTCGGACAATATCTACAAAAATTGGGTGGTCTTTATTGAATCACTGATATGCAGTGGTTCACAGGAAAATCATCAAATATTAAGTATTGACCGAATGAAGTAATGCTTCACTACAAATAGCTCCGCAGCTTTTCACTACCATTAAATGAAAGCAGCACAATTACCATTTAGTTGCTGATTAATGATCACAGAATGCTCAGCTACAGTCATGAACTTCGAGCTATTTGCTAATACTGGTGATACGTTCATTCATTATACAAACTGGTGAATGTCTGAAATTTACATAATCTAAGCATGTAAGTTGGAGTGGATCAAACGTTTGACCGACAGATTTCCCAATAAATGAAGAGAACTATAAGGATTTGGCCAAGTAGTCACATATTTCCACTCACAGTGTAAGAGATTGCACTGATAACTAGGGAAGTAAATTGCGTGTGGGCTGAATGTGAAAAAACTGTCGCCTGTAGATGCGTTACGCTCTTGAACTAAAATAAGAGGGTGGAAGTTAGTTTTAGTCAACAGTTATAGAATATGGGTCAAAAATTATTTGCGGATACAAAGACATTGATGTTGTGAATGAACAGAAATACTACATGCTGTGCTCACTACAAAGTTTTATAGAAAAACACGGAAGACCGGAGGATACAGGATAAACGAATGCAAATCCACTGCCAAAACGCTTCTTGAACAGTGTTAGTTCAATATGCAGCCACTCAACCCACCTTACCTCCATCTGAACGCCATACCAACACGGTGGATGATGACGAGCCAGTTCACGAACCATCCAAATAAGAGTACGTCTTATGTAACCATCCTTATAGCAGCAGTGGACCAAATAAATTTGCAGAGATGAAGCATAATCAAACAAATGGCAACACATGAGACGGTGAGCAAAACACCCATCCCACCTTGAAAATGGTCGAAGACTGAAACAACGAAACCATCTCCGATTGTCAAATACCAGAAGACCTCATCTACTCAAAGTCAAAAGTTAGCATTTCATGAACTTACAACACTGCACCAGCATCAAAGTTGATGCAATGTGTGACACTGGGAGCTGTAACTTGAAAACCCAATACTTCCAACAATACGTGACCGAGAGTGGCACCAACCTCTACCTTCTAGCACATTTAGAATGTCAATGTATAGACGAATATCCAGTGAATCTACACGCACTCTTGCAAATAATATGCACTTTGAGATTTGAATAGCATGCAAAATGTCATTCTTCAATTTACCGTCGTATTATGCATAAGCAGTAATCTGTGAATATATCGCTCTGGAAAGTTGTTGTCGCGATATCATCACTTCTCGAAATTTCCTAATCACCGAACCGTCTTTTCAGCGAGTTACCAAAAATAATATATGTAGTAGTAATCTTTCAAACTCCTGTTATACAGAATCCAATACTTCAAGTAGTTTGCAGAGACTCATTGAACTATTGTGTTCCTTGAATTCGAACAATTGCAGTCGAATTTGCAGCCATAATTGTTGACATGAATTGACGTGAAGGAAATAATGCCGCAATACTTCACCTTCATCTTGTGTTGTTGCATGCTTTATTAAATAGGGAAAGAGATTTGCCTAGTATAATAATTATTGTTGTCCATGCAGTCAATCAACATTCTCTTCCTGAGTATGTGCATTTCAAAACACTAGTGAACCGTAGTTACGGTTCTTCAAACAATGTTCAAATTATGTGATGAAAGAAACCTATGAATGGATTTTTAAAACAATGTTACCTCGTCATAATTACCACTTGAAATTCCCCATATACTGAAGTGTTTCACAGTCGAAATTCGATACATGTGTAATCTTTTTTTCGAGTGTAATTTCAATTTTTCCATTGATGACTGATTGGAAAGGTGATTTCCTGCGTTCTGACATCTTGTAATCGTCATTCGAAAAGCAGACTCTGAGATTGTAGCAGTAATTGCTTTACACATAACAGGCGCTTTCTCTATGCAATAATTTTGTCGAGATTCCTCAGTCAAGTGCAAAACCCAGGGACACTTCATAATAGACCAACTTTTCCCAAATTTTCGGAAAACAGCACCCTATCATACACAAAAATGTTATTTTAAATAGAATAACGAAATCAAGAAAGAATGTCCCGAGTAGCACGGAGACAGTAATCGAGTGTATATCAGGGTTAAATCCGCGTTATATCAGCTTCAACTCGAATTTCTCACCAC